AATAAGGAAGACCAAAGAAGAATTGATGCCTTTGAATTATGGTGTTGGTGAAGAATATTGAATATACCATGGACTTCCAGAAGAACAAATAAATCTGTCTTGAAAGAAATACAGCCAGAAAGCTCCTTAGAAGCGAGGATAGTGAGACTTGGATATGTTATCAGGAGAGTCCAGTCCCTGGAGAAGGACATCAAGCTTGGTAGAATATAGGGTCAGCGAAAAAGAGGAAGACCCTCAACAAGATGGATTGACACAGTGGCTACAACAATGAGCTCAAACACAGCAATGATTGTGAGGATGGTACAGGACTGGGCAGTGTTTCGTTCTGTTGTACATGGGGTCACTATGTTTTGGAACTGACTCAAGGACACCTAACAACAACAACAGCTAATGGCTACCATATTGGGCAACTCAGGTCTAGTTCTAACCTACTCAGAATGAGATCTGGGGACCAGCAGTATTGTCATCTCTGGGTTGTTGTTGTTGTCAGCTGCTGTCAAGTTGGCCCCCCAACTCATGGCAACCTGACGCACAACAGAATGAAATGCTGCCCAGTTCTGCGCCATTCCATGATTGGTTGTGGATCGGACCATTGTGATCCACAGAGGTTTCATTGGCTGATTTTTGGAATTAGATCGCCAGACTTTTCTACCCAATCTGTCTTAGTCTGGAAGCTCCTCTAAAACCTGTTCAGCATCCTAGCAACAGGCAAGCCTCTGCTGACAGACAGTGGGTGGTGCACATGAGGTAAACTGGCCGGGAAATCGAAACCAAGTCTCCCACGTGGAAGGCGAGAATTCTGCCGCTGAACCAACACTGCCCCATCATCTCCTGCGAGCTTGTTAGAAATGCAGAAACTCAAGTCCTGCTCTAGACCTACTGAATCAGAAGATCCCAGGATGATTCTTGTGCACATTAAAATTTGGGAAACAAGGAAGCATGGTCTAATGGCTAGGAGATGTTCTGTTCTATTCCTGACTTCTTACTGAGCAAATTATTTTGAATTACTGGGCCTTAAGTTTCCTGAGTCAAGTGTGATCAGAAACCTTAAGTACGGGTAGGATCAGGTGTGGATGGAGAGCTATCATTGTGGTGGGCATGGGTAAGTTGATACGTTCTAGAAAAAGCCAAAGGAGTGTTATGGTTTGACTCAACACACAAGAGAAGGTGCTGGAACCGTAACTGGTAACTTGAAGGTATACTGGGTGTGTTGACCTCAGTGGGGGCTCCAAGCCAGAGCTTACAGGCTTCCTTTCATTTTGGCAGGAGCTACAAGGTTCGATTCAACAGTGTCTCCTCCTTCTCAGACTCCCGCAAATCACTGGGTGATGGGCCCAACCTCAGAGACAACTTTGAGAGTGCCGGACCCCTAGCGAACGTGAGGTAAGCAAGAGGCCCATGGGGCTGGGAAAGACTTAGGCTCTTGGCGATCTGAACTTAGTTGCAAAGTGGGCTCTTTGTTAGGTGAGGGGAGGTCATACTTTCCATGCCCATTCATGGAATATAACTAGCTACATATAACCAGCTACACCCTGGCTGCCTGGGACCTCTCCATTAAAGCGTCCTACCTGGTCTCCCCATGCTCCATACTTGACCCTTCCTGTGACTTCTCTTCCAGTGCACTCTCCCTCAGGGGCCATCACCCAGGGTTCACCCCATCATTTGTGCTGGAGGATGTTAATCCCTGGTAGTTGCTCAATGTGTTGCCCTTCCCTTTGATATGCTTTACACTCAATAGAGGCCTCTGGAAACACCCTGCCAGGACCCAATGGTTCTCCATCCTGGATGCATATGAAGATCACCTAGGGCTGTTGGCAATAAATCAGTAACTAAGCCCCACCTCCAGAGATTCTGATTTAATTGGCCTAGAATTAGGCTCAAGCATTGCTACGCTTTTAAAAATTTCCCCCAATTGATTCTAATATTTATCCAGATTTGAAAAATACTGGCCTAACCCCATGTTTTCCAAAGTGTAGTTACATACCGCGAGATAATTTTAGGTAGTACCTGGACAATTATTCTGTATTTCAATAGTTGTGTACTCGGTTTAATGGGTATTGGGAAAGAAAGAAAACTGGGATGTCCAACCCTTGGTTTCATGGATATTGCTCTCTGATGTACGCAGAGTTTTCAGTCCTCCCCGAGTCTCTCAGACCTTCACTAACTGAACCTTCTCCATAACTGCTCAGAGCAGTGGTTAGTAGATGATATCGATCCCAGGATTCCTTGATGCTAACGTATTGTGTTTATCAATATATTTACATAGACCTCGTAGGTCAACATTGAAACGTCAGTTCTGGAGTCTGACAGACTCCTTTGTCACTTATTAAATATACCATGGCTTAGAACCAGGGGTTGCAAACTACAGCCTATGAGCCAAACCCAGCCTGGCTACTGCCTATGTTTATACATCCACAAGCTAAGAATGGTTTTTACAGATGAAACTTTGCAATCAGTTTGATGATAGAAAACACTACCTTTGAACCCCAATGAAGCGAAATATTATCCTTCCCCCCCCAAAAAAAGAAGTAAATTCTTCTCATTAGTAGATCTATATTACAAAAATTGAACTCGATTATTGTTATTATACTTTTAATTTTGTCAATAAAAAAATGTGCAGGCATTTATTTTCTGTCTTGTTATGTAAGTATCTGTATTACATCCTCAGTTTTGCCTGTTGCCCCACAAAGCCTGAACTATTTACTACCTGGCGCTGTCTGTAAGAAATTTTCCAACTCCTGGTTTAGAGGCTTAAAAAGAGGAATTTTGAAATCATCAGGTGAAAGTTGTGATGGAAATGTGAGTCTAGTAGTAATTGTGAGGCCCATCTCCACTCCATCAGGGAGGAAATTAATGAATCCATTGCCTGAACCATCTGTTGGTGAACATATCTGTGAATGAGAGCTGGGTTTGATGAGCTAATGAGTATAAATTAAAAGCAAGTTAAGGAGCCCTAATAAGTAAATAATACTATCAGTGGTAGTCAAATACGGCAGACATCAGAACATAAATAACAGGTTTGAAAAACAATACCTTAACCACAAGGCACGACTAGTGATGTTTTTGTTGTTGTTTGCTGCCATGGAATTGTCCCCCGACTCATGGCAACCCCATGCACAGTGAAACAAGACGCTGCCTGTTCCTGACTGTGGATTGGACTGTTGTTATCCATAGGGTTTTCATTGGCTGATTTTCAGAAGTGTATGGCCAGGCCTTTCTTCCCAGTCCATCTTAGTCTGGAATCTGCTAAAACCTGTTCAGCATCATAGCAACACACAAGCCTCCTCTGACAGATGGGTGGTGCTGCCAAGGAAGTGCATCGGAAGGGAATTGAACCCAGGTCTCCCACATGGAAAGCAAGAATTCTACCACTGAACCACCTCTGCCCACACCACTAGTGATAGGAGTTTTCAAATCTGTGTTAGGCTAAGACTAAGGAGGGGATGGTTTGGAGCAGGAATACCCTTTCCTGGGACCCCTCAAATCAGTCCACACCTGGTTCTCCTCTCTCTACTTGTAAGGCCACTACCCTATAAGCAAAAGGTGAGGTATCCAGATCCAAGAAGATCATAGGTTAAGGAATGATGAGGAAAAAACACTGCCTAATCCTACAACCTTTATTTGCAAGGCCCTGGATCTAATGGAAAAGGGGGTGGGTAGAGGCTGAGACGAGACAATGTGGGTGTGAATTTAAAACGAGTGGATAGTAACCCATGTTAACCTTCAGTTTATCTGTGAGATACCTTGACCCATCTCAAGTTCATTCACTAATGGTGAAGGGTTCCTTCCCAACTTCCCCACCTCCTTCCCTCATCCTCCATCTCAGTCTGTCGCCATCTTATCCCCATCATCCTGAAAAAGACTTGCTCACGGGCAGGGCAGACCCTATATGGAATAGGTTAAATGGCTCCATGCTTTGACTCATCTGAGGTGACAATCTACAGCAGAACATCTAACCTTGGAAAGAAGCGAGGCAGGCTTGTCCTGCTTGTAAAACTGTAGCACCAGTTCCAATGATGTGCTAAAGCCACAGGCAGGACCAAGCCCTGGAAATGGGGTGCAAAGTGTCTGTAGAACTCTGAATTTACAGGAGGGGCTTTCTGAGACACAGCCCCCACTTCCCATACTTTAGACAAAGTATCCGCATCTCATCATAGAGAAAGATCTCATTAATTTGCACCCTGCTGGTTCAATCAGGGACTATGCTGAGGTTCCTCTTGGTGGTATGTATGCAAAGAGGGTTTGTTAAGCAGATTAATTTCACAGACATTGCAAGGGGTGGAGCCCATTTATTTGTAAATCTTTTATCCTCTTGTAGAAGAACCGTTTACACACCAACACTTGGCGTATATATGACGAGTCCTTCTGGTCTCCTCATTAATACAGGTCTCGGGGGACCACTGTGTTTTCATTATCTTTGAACTTAAAACTAATCTAGTTACATCATTTGTAAAATTCAAGTCTTCTGCTAACTTAGGCTAGTTTCCCCAATTAGTCCAGTTTAGAAAGGAGCACACAAGAAACAGCCAGTGGTTCTGGGTCATTGTTACCCACAATTCATCTGGCTGAGGGGAGCCCCTGGGTAGTACAAACAGTTAACCCACTTGGCTGCTAACCAAAAGGTTGGTGGTTCAAGTCTACCCAGAGGCACCTCGAAAGAAAGGCCTGACTATCTACTATACTTCTGAAGAATCAGCTGTTGAAAACCCTACGGAGAACAATTCTACTCTGACACGCGTGGGGTTGCCATGAGTTGGAGTCGAATTGACAGCAGCTGGTGGTGGTGGGAGTCCTGCCCAGAACCAATCGCTAATTAGAAATTTTCTCCTAGCAGACAGTAAAAGGAAGGGAGATGAGGCCCTTGGGGGGCTTCCATATTTAAAGACAGCCTTCCACAGATGGGCTTGGGGTCCCCTGACTGCCACAGGCTGAGCTTGGATCTTATGGAGATACAGTCCCCTAGTATGGACCTTCTGTTGTCCTGTTGGCAGGTTTTCGGTGTTTGGCCTTGGCTCACGGGCATACCCCCACTTCTGCGCCTTTGGACACGCTGTGGACACCCTCCTGGAGGAGCTAGGTGGGGAGAGGATCCTGAAGATGGGGGAAGGGGATGAGCTCTGTGGGCAGGAAGAGGCTTTCAGGACCTGGGCCAAAAAGGTCTTCAAGGTAATTGTTTTCCCACATCTCGGAGTCCCAAGGGGTGCTCCACACCACCTCCAAAGGCAGGATACCTATACCATCGAGAAATAGAAGGAACTTGAGAGAACCCCTGGTACTTTCCCCAGTAAGTACTCAGATAAGTTTAGGTGGCCTTGAAACATCCATTTTCCAGCTAGAAACCAGAGTCCTCCATTATGGGCAAGGAGCTGGTTCATAAAAATTATAGTCTTGGAATTTCATGGCTAGAAGGAATTCATCCTTCACTCACATTTGGTAGACAAGTACACAGAGTTGGTCAACGCAACCTAGGTGAACTGTCTAGGTGAACTGGAACTCAGATCTGACCAATTTGTCTATGAAGCAAGCATATTCCTTTAGTGCTAGAATTTCACTGACCAATATGTGGGTTTTTAAATTTAAATTAAATACAACAAGTTGATAAAGAACATGTAGCATATCCGTACAGTGGAATATTATTCATCCATGAGAAGGAATGAACTACTAATACATGCTACAACGCGGATGAACCTTGAAAATATTGTGCTGAGTGAAATAAGCCAATCACAAAAGGCCACATATTGTATGCGTTCATTTATGTGAAATAGCCAGAACAGGCAAATCCATAGAGACAGAAAGTAGATTAATGGTTGCCAGGGGCTGGGGGGCAGCAGGAGTGAGGACTGACTGCTAATGAGTTTCTTTATGGGGTGATGAAATTTTCTGGAATTAGATAGTGGTGGTGACTGCAGAACCTTGTGAATGTACTAAATATACTGGATTATATACTTCAAAATGGTTAATTTTATGTGAATTGCATCTCAATTAAAAATATAGATATATATATATATTTTAATTAAATGGAATTTAAAATCCCATCCCTCAGTCATACTACCCACATTCCACGTGCTCTAGAGCCACAAGTGGCTAGTGGTTATCATCTTAAACAGTGCAGAATGGTTCCATCATCATAGAACATCCTATTGGACAGGGCTGGTCTAGCTATAATATAAGGTCACAGGAGAATAAGTGAATAATTGCCTTCCATCTGCATGTGGGGCATAACTAAATTGACCATCCTGGAAAAAAAATAAAACAAAAGCAATGAATGTGGACCCTGCCACCTTCTCAAGCTCCTTCCCCCTGGAATGAATCTTGCCAGGGCAAATGACTAAGGAAAAAGGGGACTATGTAACCTTCTGTCATTAAGCTGGCATTTTTCATTCTGAAAGGAAATGCAGGTAGAGAGCAGTTGGGGAAACTGAGGCACCTGGGCTGTCAGGATTTCTGTGTGGGGAGGCTGTGCCATAAGCCTGTTCCTGGATTTCTTCCCAAATGAGGAGAGTTTCTAGCTTGACCTTTTCACACCCTGAGATCAACTGATGTTTCTAGACCTTAATCAGCCAACCTTGACTGAGCATCCCAGAAGCAGGGCTTGTTACAAGTCACTGTGGGGGGATATAAAACACAATCGATTAGACCTCCTCTCTCAAGCCTCCTATAGCAAATAGGAGATATTTGCGCCCATACTCTAGAGGGATTTCAGGGCAGAGCTGAATGCCTAAGTCTGGATGGAAGGTGAAGTCTTGATTTACCAACCAAATAAAGAAAACCAGCCCAGGGAAACAGGGAGCCTGGATTCTAGTCCCAACTTTGTCGTTTTAGTAGCTGTGTGTCTTCCAGGCAAGCTCTTCACCTGCTGGTCCTCCATTTTGCTCTCTGTAAAGGGAGCAGGGGCGTGGGTGATCTCTAAGCTTCTAGCTATAGATCTATGAAACATTTATTGATAACTGCTCGATTTAAGAAATTGGCCCAGCCAAAACATTTTTTTACTCAAAGGGGAAAACGTAACATTTCTGCCCTAAAGGAGCTTACAACTAGCTGAGGTGACAAGATCTACAAACAGAGTCCCAGCTTCCTTAGCATATAGATTTTTAAATCAACACGAGGCCAAAAAGTGATAAAATCCCTTGAAAATCTTTTGAATTAATGTGGATTTTTATCTCAAACTAATTCTGAATGGTAAGTCTTAGAATCACTGAAGTTGAAGAAATAATGAGCTTGACATAAAAAGAGAAAACAAAAGAAAAATTTATATGCAAGTATGCAGGCAGTCTATATATTCTGTCTAATATAATTTTTTTAATCTTTAGAGGTGAATGGAAGATAAATGGGAAATTTTAAAGTATTTACTTTCTGGTTTAATGCTAAGCCTCTACACGTATCATTTTAGGGATAAATTTGATAATAGTATTACATCTTAAGCAGAGGTTAGGTCCTAAACTCAAGAGTAAATGGGGTGTCTCCAGCACATTGAAGATACTCAAAAATATAGGCTGGATGGATGGATGGATGGGTGGGTGGCTGGGTGGTTGGATGGATGGATGGGTAGGAGGATGGGTGGGCGGAAGGAAGAATGGATGGATGGATGGGTAGGAGGGTGGGTGGATGGGTGGGTGGATGGATGGATGGGTAGGAGGGTGGATGGGTGGATGGATGGATGGGTGGGTGGAGGGAAAAATGGGTGGATGGATGAATGGATGGATGGAGGGATGGATGGATAGATGGATGGATAGATGGATGGATGGGTGGGTGGGTGGGCGGAGAGATAGGTGGATGGGTGGGTGGATGAGTAGATGGATAGATGGTAAGTGTATAGATGGGTAGGAGGGTGGGTGGATGGATAGATGGATGGATGGTTAAGGATGTACATTCCATGACTCAGAGATGTTGAGAAGGGGCCCCTCTTGGCTAAAAGAGGTCACCGAAAGCCCTGTGTGCGCCACAGGCAGCCTGTGATGTGTTCTGTGTGGGGGACGATGTCAACATCGAGAAGGCCAACAACTCCCTCATCAGCAATGACCGCAGCTGGAAGAGGAACAAATTCCGCCTCACCTATGTGGCTGAGGCTCCAGAACTTACACAAGGTACCTGTCACCACCATCCCTAAAGAGGCATTCATAACAGTGGGGAAAGAGGAAAGCCAGGAGATCTGACCTTCCAAAGGTGCTTAGAGAAGGAGGGCTTAATTGCTTTGGTCTCCCTTTAGTGCATTTCTCCCAAAATGAATAGGGCGCTACCACCCCACCCTCAGGAGAATATGTGCTTGGAAATTTCTCTTTCCAGCAGAATGGTGTGTTACTCTGAATCATCCTCTTTTCAACTTGTTAGTCCCCAACTCATGGTAACCCCATGCAAGATAGAATGGAATGCTATCCAGTCCTTTGCCATCCCCATGATCTGTTGTGGTTCAGACCATTGTGATCCATAGAGTTTTCATTGGCTGATTTTCAGAAATAGATTGCCAGACCTTTCTTCCTAGTCTGTCTTAGTCTGGAAGCTCCGCTGAAACCTGTTCAGCATCATAGCATCACACAAGCCTCCACCCTCCACACACGGGTGGTGGCTGTGCATGAGGTGCATTGGCCAGGAATCGAATCTGGGTCTCCTGCATGGAAAGCGAGAATTCTACCAAATTTTCTTTCTGTTCTGAATTAGCCACAACCACCCCACCCATCCCAACCAACAGCTACCTGACCTCTCCTCTTGTATGTCTTTACTCCAGAGGTCAGTGGAAATGTAGATAGAGGACCCTCGACTGGGGAGTTTTTACTGACAGTTGTTTAACCTCGTCTCAAGAGGACTGTTACTTTTTTCCCTGCAGGTCTATCCAGTGTCCACAAAAAGCGGGCCTCAGCCGCTCGACTCCTCAGCCGTCAAAACCTTCAGAGTCCTAAATCCAGGTAGGAACACCTTGGTTCACTCAGAGTTACCCTCCTCTGCTCCCAGATGCCACCTGCTTCTCAGGGAGGAAGGCCTTATTGACTCCAAGGACTGGATTCCTATTTCCAACCTTTGTGGAGACCCTGGGTGGGGCACACAGTTAATGCTTGGCTGCTAACGGAAAGGTTGGCAGTTCAAGTCTATCCAAGGCTGCCTTAGAAGAAAGGCCTGGCAATCTACTTCTGAAAGATCAACCACTGAAAACCCTACAGAGCACATTTCTACTCTAATATACATGGAGTTGTTGTGAATCAGAGCTGACTCAATGGCAACTGGGTTTTGGGGGGATTTTTTAGTGAAGTGGCAGAGGGAGCCCCTTGCTGGTTTGTAGCAGATGGGTTTCCTGAATATTCCTGATTTCCCTGGAATATTTCGGGGCTTACTTTTGCCAAGCTCTGACCTGGAGGGATGGAAAATAGAGATGGTGGTTACCATTGTGGAAAGAGAAAATAGAAAGGTTATATGGATAATTTTTTACAGTGGTCATACTCGTGGAGAATTGCTAATATGCACCTTATGTTAGAATCTAAGCAAGAAATCACTTAGTCCAAGCATTTCTTCATTGTGGATAATTCTGCTATGGAAGTCTGAAAAATGGCTATTCAGACTTTGCTTAAATTCCTTTGGGATAACGAGAGGTTCATTACCTCACAAAACAGCCCATGCTGTTTGTTGAAGTCCTGATTGTCAGAAATAATGTTAATGCTGAACCAAAGTGCATTTCCCTAGACCTTCGTTTCAATACCGGTTATACTCTTCCAAATGAGAGACCTGCAAAGAGCCAAGGACATTGGCCAATCTCCCCTGGGTCCTGATTCTTCTAAGCATTCTTCCTAAGACCTGCTTTCCCAAGCCTTTTGCTTTAGTGAAAGGACACAGTCCCTCCTGTTGGAAATGTTATCATGAGTCTTGGCCACAGCACATCAAAGGTCGCATGATCACCGCCAAGTGCACTGGGGATATTGTTACCATCCCTGATGTGAACAGGTCATGCTAATGGTGCCCAAGATTGCAGGCGTGATTCTAACGGCCATGCTGCCCCGCACTCTCTCACCAGACTTTCAGCCTTGCTGCTGTCAGGCATGTGAGACTTTTCAGCTCAATCCAGCCAGGCCTGTCCAGCCCTCTGCTTATATAAGTAATTCTTTTCCCACTAATGAAGGTCTTTGCACTGATCCCTGTTGAACAGAATCTCTTTAACTCACAGTTACAGCCCATGAAGATCTTTTAAAATCTTGATTCTTAGGTTGGCATGGTACAAAGGATGGGCTCTTGAGCTTGACAGCCCTGGGTTCCGACCCAGCTCTGCCACACTCTAGCTATGTGGCCTTGAATGAGTCACTCAGATGCCCTGAGCCCCAGCGTCCTTACCTACAAAATGGGAATGATGGCAAGAAAAGCAATGTTTATGTTGGAGTCTCTGGGTGGTGCAAACTGTTAATGTGCTTGTCTGCTAACTGAAAAGTTGGTGGTTCGAGTCCACCCAGGGGTGCCTCGGAAGAAAGGCCTGGCGATCTACTTCCAAAAAATCAACCACTGAAAACTATGGAGTACAGTTCTACCCTGACACACGTGGGGTCACCGTGAGTAGGAGTTAACTCAGTGCCAACTGGAAAGATCTCTGATCCGTAGCGGGACTCTGGTATCTGAAATACATATTTTATTTCCCATTTTTGCCCTATGGAAAGGTATGACTGAAGCAGCATTGGAAGAGAAGGGACTGAGAATCTACTGGAAATTTCTTCCAGCAGCAAACTATAAAAGACCAGGTTACAAAAATTAGTCCCTAAACCATAATACATAAGCAGCAAGGAAACTTGTAAATGTTTTGATGCTAAGTTGGACTGAAGTCCCAGAATCAGCCCCCTGTCCACCCTTGGGAAGAGCACTTGACTCTAAGCTGATGGGAAGCAGTGACTTACAAGAGAATATTCTGAACAAGGTTGGGAGCTGGAACATAGTATGAAAATCAGTTATGAGTTGGCACAAAAAGCACCAGATTGTACCTAGGTGTTTATCTCTTTACAAGCATGCTCTGTAGCACTACCTATTTTTGGCCTTAATACCATTTCCATTTTTATAAGGTTTATAAAGAAGAAGAAAAACAGGATAATAGAATGAAAAAGCATAGCACTCTCCCGATTTCTCCTGCCCGAGTCTGGCTGTTTAGTCCAGGAGACCATAACCAAGATATCACACATCACCGCCACCAGAGACACTTAATTGCAAGCAGAGTGCTTAAGAGGAAATAGACAGCCATTTGAGAGTTGTCCTTGCAAATCTAAAGACAAAGTGACCGCAGTAAGACAAAAGTGACCGCAGTCACCACTTGGTTGGGAAATACATTTTCTGAGGGACACAGAGCAATTAGCAAACAATACAGAAGAAAGTGTAGTGGAGTGCTAATGGGTGGGTGGAATGCAGATAATAAGTCCTAGAAGTCAAAAGGGTGTAGGAGATCATAGAGCTTCAGATGAGCCTCAAAGGGAGGTGTAGCCTTTAGACATCCCTGGGTGGTGCAAATGGCTAATAAACTCTCTGCTCACCAAGAGGTTGGAGGTTTGAGCCCACACAGAGATGCCTTGGAAGAAAGGCCTGGCAATCTACTTCCGAAAGATCAGCCATTGAAAACCCTAGGGAGCACAGTTCTACTCTGACACACATGGGGTCGCCATGAGTCGGGGTCAACTCCATGGCAGCCGGCACTGGTAGGGGTTAGACAGGCATGGAGAGTACAAGAGGGACATCTAGGAAAAGAGAACCGCAGGAGCTGAAGTGCAGGAGGGGGACTGAACCCTGGGATATATGGAGAGTGACAGGACATTACAGCAGAGAGTTCTTGATGGGACACGACTCTTGATTCTCGTCTTCCCTCTGATAAAATTACTTCTCTCCAGCCTTCCCCTTCTCAACAGAGGGCAACGAGCCCAAGACTCAAGCATCTCCCCGCCTCCTCTCTTTCCCACACTCTGCACATCCATTCTCTCAGCTGGTTCTGTTGGCTTAGTCCACAGCTGCCACCTTGGGAAGCCACAATCATCTCTGGTCTGGGTGATTCGTCTGGCCATCTAATTTGTCGCCTTGTTTCTTCGCTTTTCTCTCAAAGATCCATTTTCCACACAGTAGCTAGAGTAGTCTTTTTATAATGTAAATTAAAGCCTGTCACTCCCCAGCTTAACACCCTCCAGGTGTGTCCCAGGCTGCCCCCTGGACTTAGAAAAGCTTCCAAACTCCTTGCCATGGCAGATCTGGCCGCTGCCCAGCTCTCTGACCCCCTTCTCCTACCACCCACCCCTGTGTTGGCCACTCTTCTGCCACTTGAGCCTTCTTATCCTTCCCTGAACATGCCATGCTTATTCCTACCCCAGGATCTTTGCACTTGCTGTTCCCTCTGCCAAATCTTTGCATGCCAACTCTTTCTCATTGTGCAGGTCTCTGCTCCAATGGGAAATCACCAGAGAGGCCTTCCCTGACCGTCCTCTCTGACTTAGCCCACTACCCCCAACGCATCACGACCCACCTACCCACATCACCAACTCAGTCTGAAAGCTTTTTAAGTTACTTCTCTGTGAGAGTAGGACACTTTCCTGTCTTATTCATCACCCTCTCACCAGTGCCTAGAGCAGTGCCTGACAATACAAATTTGTTGAATGAAAGTACCTTGTTAACTCAAACTGCCCCTGGCTGACGGTGTTTACTCTTTTCATTGAAGATTGACCATTAGCTAATATTTTTTTTAGTATTTATTTAATGCTGGATGTTAGCAGACTGTTCTTTCATCTGTGAACCTGGCATTGAACTACTGCCAAGTATGTGTGAGTGTGCGTATGTGTGAGAGAGAGAGATGCTTCTGTTGGTGTTAGTTGCTGTCATGTCGATTCCAACTCATGGCGACCCCGTGTGTGTCAGAGTAGGACTGTGCTCCATGGGGTTTTCAAGGCTTTGTGGATGTAAATACATCACACGCAGGGGCTGCTCTGGGGCAGGAGGTACAGAGGGCCCAGATGGCCACTGCCGCCCCGGACTGCCCTCTCCCCACTCCCTTGGTACTTCTCAACCTGCCCATGTGTAGCCCACACTTTTAAAAAAAAAGTTCAGAAAATCCTACACTAGAACCCCCCAGGGGAACTGAGATTTAAGACAGCTGGCCCCCAAACCGGTGTCCCAGGGCCAGGAGAATCAGCTGCTCTGCAAACCATCAAGGCTGTTCCATCAAGGTGCCCTGGGGTCAGGTGACCATGCCCTGCTGGGTTTCCAGCTCAGTGAACCACGCCCAGTCAGCAGCTTAGAAAGTCCCCTGGGTTAAATTCCTAGCACGGCAGAGCCTGGGCCCACCTGGGAGCTCCCCTGCCAGCTAAAATCCCAGCCAGGCCTTTCCTGCCCCTTATCTTCCTGGCCACCTTCTCCCACTTCCAGGGGGACTTGGGGATGTGGCTGTGAGTATGAGCCAGCTCAGCAAATTGGAGGCCTCTGCATTTCTATTTTGCACCGGCCAAAAGAACGGAGGCAAATATACTTCTGAAAGAAATCGTGATGATCCGGGAGAAAGCGGGAATTGATTCACAGACCTTCTAAAAGGCTCCCTCGGAGTAGGCAGAGGCTCCCAAATGAAAAGCCCCACAGTGCCCCCTGCTGGCGACTAGCCTTGGCTAATTCCCTTCCTGGGGCCAGGAGGGGGTGATGATGTCCTTGTTCCCCAGGGACCAAAAGACAGCTCAGGATAGAGTTGTGCAAAACCACACAATTGACAAGATCAGTACACCAGAGAGGGCCCAGGAAAGAGAGGTGGGATCCCAGACCGTAACTCCACCATTCACGACTAAGGTCGCCAAGGTTTCTGCCATGCCAAGGACAGGGGTGCCTTGCTTTAAGAAAATACTTGACACTCCAAAAATATGCCAGCACAACTATTTTTAATCATGATGGCTATTTGCAGCACAAAAGGACTCTTGGTTGTGCCAAAAAAACTCCTTTAAATAGCAAGCCCTATTGGACTATTCAATCATTGATTTACATACCATGGAGAATGTAGAAACTTCATGTGGAATATCAAGCATCTTGATCATCAGAAAACCAGTTGGCAGTGAAGGAAAAGTGGATCTGAAATGCAAATTTAACTCAGAGTGCAAAGGATTTGATTTATCCAAGTGTAATCGATCCCAAACTTTCCAGGTATTGCATGAAATGCAGTATATCTATACTAAAACTTAAAAACAGGACCAGAATGTGAATTCTGAGAATTTGTTCCTGAAGCCATCTGTGTTAGCACAGCTCTCTGGCCCTAGAAGCACAAAAAACAACGCAAACCTAAACACAGGCCTAAAAAAGTTTCTCTCTGGGTTGTTTTTTTTTTTTTTTTTTTAGATGGATGGTTCAATTTTTCTAACATCAGTGGGTTTGTGCTAACAGGAACCCGAGCTTAAGGCCAAGTCTGTTCCCCTCCACCATCACAGTCTGAGGGGTTCTGGTTGCAGAAGTAAGGTGAAGCTTGGAATTCCTAGGAGAGATGGAATTTTACAGATTGGGGAAACTGCCTATGATTCCACTGGGGCCAAGAATCCTGAGAGCACCCTGGTCAGGTGCTGAGAACAGACCTGTTCCAGCAGCTGGATAACCTTAGGAGTCTGAGGTTCTTCTTTCAACAAATATTTTTTGAGCACCTACTATGTGCCATGCGTGGTTCTAGGCACCAGGGATACAGCAGTGGACACAAAAGACAAATCCCCTGACCTCAAGGAGCTTACGTTGTCCAAGGGGGAAAACTAACCATAAACTATACAGACGGACAGTCCCCAGGTTACGAACGAGATCCGTTCCTAAGTCTGTCTTTAAGTCGAATTTGTAGGTAAGTCGGAATAGGTACATACAGCTCATATTTATTGTCAGTTAGGCAAATGTTTGTCTTAGTATCTGGTATGTATTTTACCTTTCTATGCACATAAAGGAGCCCTGGTGGCATAGTGGTTAAGAGCTTGGCTATTAACCAAAAGGTCAACAGTTCGAATCCACCAGCTGCTCCTTAGAAATCCCGTGGGGCAGTGCTACTCTGTCCTATGCGGTCGTTATGAGTTGGAATGGACTCAACGGCAACAAGTTTAGTTTGGTAAGCATATAGAACACTTAAGAAACACTTCAAAACCGTGCGATGTTTTCACGAGTGTCACAAAGTAGTGCGTGCCCTCGTTGTTAAGAACCATTGTATTTAACTCAGATTTTTAATATAATAAGTTTTATGGCAATCGGTTCTTAAGCACGAGTTATCCGTAAGTTGGACGTTCGTAACCCGGGGACTGCCTGTATAATAAAGTCAACTATACTGTGGGTCAGAGGGTAGTAAGTGCAATGGAGAAAAATAAAGCAGAGGCAGGAAGATAGAAAAACAAAAAGATCTGAGGACTGATTCCTGGGGGAGATGTCAAATTCCAGAATTTGGGGAGAGGAGAAGGAACCAGCCAAAGAGTAGCCAGAGAGGTGATCAGGAAATCCTGGGATGCTAGAATCCAAAAGAGAAAGGGAGTCAAGAAGGAAGGAGTGGACAGCGAAACCCAATGCTACTTTGATGATGAAGCTGGGTACTGGACACAGCCAGTGGATTTACAATGAGCAGTTCATAGATGACTGTGATAAAAACCATGTTGCAGAGTGACGGGCAGAAGCCTTGTGGGCATGGGCCCCCATGAGAATGGAAGGAGGGGAATTGGACCAACAAGAACCCATGAAGTAAGGGGGCAGTAGCTGGTGGCCCTTGTCCTATTTTTCCCTGGCCTTTCCTTTCAGCCGATCCACCATCTTCGTGCGGCTCCACACCAATGGGAATCAGGAGCTGCAGTACCAGCCTGGGGACCACCTGGGCGTCTTCCCCGGCAACCACGAGGACCTGGTGAACGCCCTGATTGAGCGGCTGGAGGACGCGCCCCCTGTCAACCAGCTGGTGAAGGTGGAGCTGCTGGAGGAGCGGAACACAGCTTTGGGTAAACTCCCAGGGGGCCCCTTCCCTTCCCCAGGAAGTTCCAAAGGCAGTAGGAGACCAGTTCTTCCCAATCCCCGGTCCAGGGAGGAGAATGTGTGTCTGTCGCTCCAGCTTGTTAGATTGAAGACTTGCCCGTTCTCATGACCGAACAACCCTGTGAATGCCCATGATGCCAGGACATGAGTGGTTAATCGTGAGGGTCGGGGGCTTCTGTCTTCCATCACCTGTGTCATTAGCTAGAAATCGATGTTAATAGTGGCCACTTTTCTTGCTTCCTTCATCACCACCACCCCACTGATAGCCACTGAATCTGACCCTACCCCTCCTTGAATCAAAAAGTAGTGTATGAAGCTCAATGGGATTGAACCCACAGTTTGGACCTCATTAGAGCAAGTTCCAACCTGCTGAAGTAATCATCCCTGACATTGACATTCAAGTACTTTGAGAGGCAAACTGTCTCAATGCTTCATCTCCGTAGGCACAGGTGAGCTCAGGCATGAGGTGTAAGGCAATGCAGTGGCCTTAGACATGGTGGCCTGTGATACAGTGACATATTGTCTTTATGAAGGTGTCAGGGGTAAAGTCACGACAGAATGTGAAAAAGAATATACAGCCAAGCCCTACTGAAAAGCCCTTAGGAAAGCAATACTTTGGAGAGATATACCTCTCCTAGTAAATCCAATCCAGCTAGCTTTTCCTCCCGTGTTGGAACTGAGCTTTTTGTCTTGGGTTGAGCCCTTGAGAGTCAAGTAGAGGCTTGTCATTGGAAGCCACGTTGGATGAGAAATACAGAGGCCATACAGTGTACTAGTTAGAACAAAGCCTGGAGCCAGACTACCCTACTTCACCCTTGCGAGCTGTGTGACTCTGGGCAAATTCCTTAAGCTCCCCGTGCTTCCATTTTTGTCGTCTATAAAATGGATAGTAACACCACCCACTATCTAGGGTTGTTGTGAGGGTTAAATGAGTTGATACTGTAAAGTGCTGAGCGTAGGTACTCGGAGTATAGAAAGTGCTAGATAAGTGTTGGAGTCCCTGGGTGGTGCATATGGTTAAACATGTGACTACTAGCCAAAAGGTTGGCAATTCGATCCCACCCAGACGCCTGGTGATCTGCTTCCGAAAGGTCACAGCCTTGAAAACCCTATGGAGCGGTTCTACTCTGCACACATGGGGTTGCCATGAGTCGGAATTGACTGGACAGTAAGTAACAACAATAGATAAGTGTTGCGTGTGTTTGTCATTTTTAAACTCTAGAATCCTGCTCCCACCGACACCGTGAGTGGTCATACAGAATCAAAATAGACTCATGTCCTGTGCTCACCTGGGGCTTACTGCACAGAATGCTAGTGGAATGTCTCATGCTATTTTAATATTGATTCTCCTCTTTTTATTCTTACTTTTAAATTTTGGGACCAGTTTACCTAATTGGTTGTTGGATAAGCCACTTGCACACATGAGGTAACCCCATAGTTCCTGGGACGTGGGTAGAGACGCAGGATCCAGGAACCAGGCTCGCTCCTGGGTGTGGACTCAGAGTACGGAAGGTAGAGAGCTGAGTGGTTGTTTGACTCTTGGACAGTTCTGCTCACAGGCCCACCCTCTGCCCCAGGAACAGACTGGCCTTCCCCACTTGCACCCAAGCCCTTACAGCTCAGACTTACCTTTCCCTACCTAGTCCCCATGTCCATTGTACCTCCACAGGAGTCATCAGTAACTGGACAGATGAGCACCGCCTCCCACCCTGCACCATCTTCCAGGCCTTCAAGTACTACCTGGACATCACCACGCCGCCAACGCCCTTGCAGCTGCAGCAGTTTGCCCCCCTGGCTACCAATGAGAAGGAGAAGCAGCGTCTGCTGGTCCTCAGCAAGGTGGATCCCTGGGCCTCATACAACTCAAGTTAAAAAAAAAAAAAAAAAAAGTTGCCTTCCAGTCAACTCGGACTCATGGTGACCCCATGCGTATCGGAATAGAACTGTGCTACATAGGGTTTTCAATGGCAGTGAACTTTCAGAAGTAAATCACCAGGGCTTGCTTCTGACGTGCCTCTGTTGTTGTTATTGTTGTTAGGTGCCATCAAGTCGGTTCCAACTCATAGTGTGACCCTATGTACAACAGCACGAAACACTGCTTGGTCCTGCGCCATCCTCACAATCATTGCTATGTTTGAGCCCATCATTGCAGCAACTGTATCAATCCATCTTGTTGAGAGTCTTCCTCTTTTTCGCTGACCCTCTACCTTACCAAGCATGATGTCCTTCTCCAGGGACTGACCCCTCCTGATAACATGTCCAAAGTACATGAGAGAAAATACTATGGCTTGGGTCAGGCACACCTGATTCCTCAAAGTGACATCTTTGCTTTTTAACACTTTAAAGAGGTCTTCTGCAGCAGATGTGCCCAATGCAATACATCATTTGATTTCTAGACTGCTGTTTCCATGGGTGTTGACTGTGAATCCAAGTAAAGTGAAATCCTTGACAACTTCAGTCTTTTCTCCGTTTATCATGATGTTGCTTATTCGTCCAGTTGTGAGGATTTTTGTTTTCTTTATGTTTAGATGTAATCCATACTGAGGGTTGTGGTCTTTGATCTTCATCAGTAAGTGCTTCAAGTCCTCTTCGCTTTCAGCAAGCAAGGTTGTGTCATCTGCATATCTCAGGTTGTTAATGAGTCTCCCTCCAATCCTAATGCCACGTCCTTCTTCGTATAGTCCAGCTTCTTGGATTATTTGCTCAGCATACAGAGTGAATAAGTATGGTGAAAGGATACAACTCTGATGCACACCATTCCTGATTTTAAACTATACAGTATCCCCTTGTTCTGTTCAAACAACTGCCTCTTGGTCTATGTACAGGTTCCTCATGAGCACAATTAAGTGTTCTGGAATTCCTGTCCTTCGCAATGTTATCCATAATTCGTTCCACACAGTCGAATGCCTTTGCATAGTCAATAAAACACAGGTAAACATCTTTCTGGTATTCTCTGCTTTCAACCAAGATCTGTCTGACATCAGCAGTGATATCTCTCATTCCATGACCTCTTCTGAATCCAGCTTCAATTTCTGGCAGTTCCCTATTGATATACTGCTGCAACTATTCTTGAATGATCTTCAGCACTTTTTTACTTGCCTGTGATATTAATGATACTGTTCGATAATCTCCACATTCTCTTGGATCACCTTTCTTTGGAATGGGCACAGATATGGATCTCTTCCAGTTGGTTGGCCAGGTAGCTCTCTTCCAAATTTCTTGGCATAGATGAATGAGCACCTCCAGAACTGTATCCATTTGCTGAATCATCTCAACTGGTATTCCATCAATTCCTGGAGCCTTGTTTTTCGCCACTGCCTTCAGTCCAGCTTGGACTTCTTCCTTCAATACCATCGGTTTTTGGTAATATGCTTCCTCCTGAAATGGTTGGATGTTGACCAGTTCTTTTTGGTACAGTGACTCTGTATATTCCTTCCATCTTCTTTTGATGCTTTCTGCATCATTTAATATTTTGCCCATAGATTCCTTCAAAATTGCAACTCAGGGCTTGAATTTTTTCTTCAGTTCTTTCAGCTTGAGAAATGCTGAGCGCATTCTTCCCTTTTGGTTTTCTAACTCCAGGTCTTGCACATTTCATTATAATACTTTACCTTGTCTTCTCGAGCCACCCTTTGAAATCTTCTGTTCAGCTCTTTTACTTCATCATTTCTTCCATTCGTTTTAGCTACTCTATGTTCAAGAGCAGTTTCAGAGTCTCTTCTGACATCCATTTTTGTCGTTTCTTTCTTTCTTGCCTTTTTGATAACCTTTTGGTTTCTTCATGTATCCTATCTTTGATGTCACCCCACAACTCGTCTGGTCTTCGGTCATTAGTGTTTAGTGTGTCAAATCTATTCTTGAGATGGTCTCCAAATTCAGGTGGAATATACTCAAGGTTGTATTTTGGTTCTCATGGACTTGTTTTAATTTTCTTTAGCTTCAACTTGAGCTTGCATATGAGCAATTGATGGTCTCTTCTGCAGTCAGCCCGTCCTTGTCCTAACTAATGATATTGAGCTTTTCCATTGTCTCTTTCTACAGATGTAGTCAGTTTTATTTCTGTTTTCCATCCGGTGAGGTCCATGTATATAGCTACTGTTTATGTTGAAAAAAAGTATTTACAATGAGTAAGTCGTTGGTCTTGCGAAATTCTATCATGCAATCTCCGGCGTCGTTTCTGTCACCAAGGCCATGTTTTCCAACTACCAATCCTTCTTCTTTGTTTCTAATTTTTGTATTCCTATCAACAGTAACTATTAATGCGTCTTGATTACATGTTTGATCAATTTCAAACTGCAGAAGTTGGTGAAAATCTTCAATTTCCTCATCTTTGGCATTAATAGTTGGTGTGTAAATTTGAATAGTAGTCATATCAACTGATCTTGAGGTTCCTCTGAATGGATTCAAACCACTAACCTTCAAGTTAGTAGCTGTGCCCCTAACCATTTGTGCCACCCAGGGACTCCTTTGTACAACCCTAGGGGGTGCCTTTCACCTAATAGTCTTTGGAGAATTGTGTAGTTATTACAACAGTTCTCCAGTAGGTGGCAGTCTTGAGGAAGGGGGTGCGGTTTTCATATTTGCAAGACGCTTGTCATGTTGGCTACTCCATTTTGGTTAGTCCTGACCATCTCCCTTTGTTCTAACTAAGACCCGACAGAACGAGAGTGACCCTCTTGGGTCTTGGATTTGTCTGGCCACAGTAGAAATTGGTATTCTGCCTCTTTTTGTTCCTTCCTTTGAAACCCTTGATCTTCCATTAGTCTCATCTTGGCTCATGCTTAGAGGAAAAAGAAACTGAGAGAATCCCACAGTGCCCTGGCTTAAATATGGTATCTTTTCTGATCCAAAGGACCAGTAGGTAGGCCTGTTAGATACAGGAAGTCTCAGATGGCAGGGTGAACCAAACACAGCTTCTACCACCCTTGCTCAGAAACCAAGGATTAGTCTGCCCCAAGCTGCTACAAAGCCTTGCTCAGTAAGAATGCTACCCAGAAGGACAACCCAGGCTTCTCCTATTGGGAGCTTCCAGTAAGAAAATCCCAAGCTTAGGTTTCTTCTGCAATCCAGGAGAAGAGACTGGAATGGTGGACAGGAAGAAAGAGACTAATTCAGTGAGTGCATATTATTTAGAAACATGAAAATAAGCACCAGAAGAAATATTTCAAGAGTTGCAAGTTGCTAAGCCCTCACTGGAAATAAGAGCCAGGAGTGGAGTTGCAGCTCTGTCCCTCTGTTTGGCACAGGGTTTGCAGGAGTATGAAGAATGGAAGTGGAGCAAGAACCCCACCATCGTGGAGGTGCTGGAGGAGTTCTCGTCCATCCAGATGCCCGCCACTCTGCTCCTGACCCAGCTGTCCCTGCTGCAGCCGCGCTACTACTCCATCAGCTCCTCCCCAGACATGTACCCGGACGAGGTTCACCTCACTGTGGCCATTGTCTCCTACCGCACCCGAGGTGGGCAGAGACCTGGGAGAGCCTCCCAGTCTGCGTTGCCCCTGAGGGACCTCTGCAGGTCTGCCAGAACTACTGCCCACCAGCCAAATCCCACATCCCTGGGAGGCACTCCAGCCCCAAGATTAGGAAACTGAGGGAAGAAGCAAGTCAGACAACCTGTCCCTGTAGGCAGAGCCAATGCTGTGCATTGTTAGGAAGGAGGCCAGGTATGCATTTGGAAGGCTCAGCCACTCCCAGAGCCAGAAATCCTCTTGTACTCTCTTCATCCCCTCAAGCCCCCCGCCCCCCAAAGCAGCAACTAGAACATGCCACCACCCCCATTTCTTTAGGTACGCTCTCTGCTGCATGATGTCCAGCTGGTTGTAGGTCAGTCAGATGATCCAGCCTCTGTTCCAGTATTTTCCCTCCTTGACAAAGCAATTCAAATGTGGATCCGAGCAAGCCACTGAGACCTCAGTGGGCAGGATTGGAATCCAACCCACTCCCACCCAACAGAGCTGTGGTCCACTGCATAGCCACAAGCTCACACCAGCAAGACCATCTTCCTTTTCCCTTTCAAAGCAAGGGCAGTAAACAATGGACTCAGGACAGAAACTTGGCTTTGGCATTGGGAGCTTTCTATGTTAGAGGGAGAAGGAAGGTCAGTGATGGGGGAAGCTTGGAAGCAGTAGCCCAGCCAGACAACTTTGGTTGTTTTCCTAGATGGAGAAGGACCAATTCACCATGGTGTGTGCTCCTCCTGGCTCAACCAGATACAGGCTGACGAAGTGGTCCCCTGTTTTGTGAGAGGGTAAGTGGCAAATGAGGAGAAACGAGCAGCCACCCCCAGATTGGATACTGACATTGTGAGTTGAGGTGGGTAGACCAGCCAGAAAGATTGATTCGGTGCTCTAGAGAGATGGATGGGTCAGATGGGTTGTTAAGGAAACAGGATCAGGGAACATGGCCAGCTAAGTAAGTCCTCTAGTCAAATTCAATCTAATGCAACAAATGTTTATCAAGTGCATGGACCATGCTAGATGCTAGCACTACAATGGAGGAGCCCTGGTGGCCCAGTGGTTAAGTGCTCAGCTGCCAACCAAAGGGTCAGTAGTTCGAACCCACCAGCCACTCCATGGTAGAAAGATGCGGCAGTCTGCTTCCATAATGATTGCAGTCTTGGAAACCCTGTGGGCAGTTCTATTCTGTGCTATGGGGTTGCTATGAGTTGTAATTGACTCGACAACAACCAATACCGGGGGCTGTGGTGGAGAACCAGGCAAACATAGACACGGCCTTCATGGAATTTACAGACTGGTGGAAATTCTGTCCAAATTCTACTGGCCACCCTCATCTGTCCCCAGTTTCTTAGAGACGGGGAAGATCTGAGTACCCCCGTCAATTTGAACTTTTTGCCCCAAACTCAGTTTTAATGGTATGTCTGAGCTTAGGCCCGCTTAAAAAAAAACCAAACCCATTGCCATTGAGTCAATTCTGACTCATAGCGACCCTATAGGACAGAGTAGAACTGCCTCATAGGGTTTCCGAGGAGCGCCTGGTGGATTCTAACTGCCGACGTTTTCGTTAGCAGCCACAGCTCTTAACCTCTGTACCACCAGGCCCACTATAGGTACCTGCTTTGTCAACCAGTATTAGTAACCTCTCTGCCTGAACGGTGGACTTGGCCAACCATTTTTCTCAACTATTGAGGGCAGAATGTTTTAGGTGTGGTCTAAATACTACCGGCATCAGAATCCCCTAGCTTCCTTCAAAAATAGAGTCCTGAATCCACACTACTACATGACCCAGGAATCTGCACTTTTAACACCCCCCAGATGATCCTTTGCACACTGACCCCCTGATTTAAGGAGATCTCATCTATGGTTAAGTCAGTAGTTCTCAACTGGGAGTGGTTTTGCCTCCCAAGCAAAATTTGGCAATGTCTGGAGATACTTTTGGTTGTCACAGCTGGGAGGGCTACTGGCATCTAGTGGTCGGGGCTGGGGATGCTGCCCAGCCTCCTGCAATACACAAGGCAGCCCCCACAACAAAGAAGTATCCAGCCCCAATGTCAGTGGTGCCAGAGTTGAGAAACCCCGGGTTAAATCACTCCCACCACCCTTTGTAGCTTGGCTCAGCGAATAGGAGTGCAGAGGGATTTTCAGGCTCTGAAGACCTCTGGTTCTTGGAATTCCCCAAAGCTGTGGGGCCCCCACCCTGAAAATGGGCACAAGAGCTGTTATGTTTCTACCCAAGACAGCCATCTGGTCTACCCAAAATTCAATTGTTCTTGATCAGATTTGACTTCAGCAAGCCTACTGACTCTTTCTTCCCTGTCCAGAGCACCCAGCTTCCACCTTCCCCGAAATCCCCAAGTACCCTGCATCCTGGTTGGCCCGGGCACTGGCATCGCCCCTTTCCGAAGCTTCTGGCAGCAGCGACAATTTGATATCCAACACAAAGGTGGGTCACCATCCAGCAGCCTCTGGCTTTTCACCCCCTGGGCTTGGGGAGGCCCACCTGTGTCTCAGCAGCCTCGTGGAATGATGGAGTTGTCACTCATTGCATCACTGCCTGGAACAGTGTGGGCTGGGGGAGTGCAATAGAGGGGATGTAGGACTAACCAGGCCCATAGGTAAAGTTCATGGTATTATGGTATTATTCAAATCCTGTGTCCAAACAAATCTTATCCACAGCCTATCTTAAGATCCTGAATTTCCATCCTCAGAGAACGTTTCTTTGACTGTTAAGATATAACCTTTTATTAAAATTCTAATAGCACCAGAAGGGCTAGGCATTAAGCCTTATCAAATGGATGCATGTATGTGGTTGTCCTGAAGACTGTTATTCAACAGCAGACTTTGCTCTGTGAGACCCAGCACAAATCAACTTTGAGAGGAGAAAGCATGCATTTAACATGGATTTATTGAGTACCTAATAAGTGCCAAGCCCTATTTTAGACACTGGGGGCATCTAAATGAACAAGATGGGGGAAAAAAAAACCCTGCCTCCATGGAGCTGTCATCCCAACAGAATAGCTACCATTTATAAAGGCCTTGCTATTAGCAGCAATGGTTCTAAAGCTTTATATCCCGATAACCTTACAAGGTAGATACTATTGTTATTAAATGGGGAAACTGAGGCATAGATAGGTTAAGTAAGTTGCTCACCATCACATAGAGTTGGGGTTTGTACCCAGACAGTCTAGCTCCAGAGCTGGGTTCTTAGCACTAACCAATGGTAGGGGCTGCTAAGTAGCCAGGGGGTAGAAGGAAGGCGTCAGGCACCCAGATATTCTGCCAGAGTCTGAACAGACTTTACCTACTTCCTTTAGTGTGTGTGCATGTGTATGTGTGTGTATGTGTTTACATGTGTGAGTTGAACTGTGTGCACGTGCGCACGTGTGTATGTATATGTGGGTTGAGCTCTGTGCAGGTATGTACACATGTGAATGTGTGTGCATATGTGCCGTGTATGCACGTGTGCATATACCCACCAATCCCCAGTGCTCATGTGCTGTGTCTACATGGCACACACTAAGGTCACAGCACCCCACTGCTGGCATCAGGGCCACCTCCCCAAATCAGGCATCAGCGCCATTAGTGACATGAGGTCTTCCTGGCCCCCAGGAATGAATCCCTGCCCCATGGTCCTGGTCTTCGGGTGTCGGCAATCCAAGATAGACCACATCTACAAGGAAGAGACCCTACAGGCCAAGAACAAGGGTGTCTTCAGAGAACTGTATACGGCCTATTCCCGGGAGCCAGAGAAACCAAAGGTAACTCCAGCCTGTTCACAGTCCGCCCGCCCCAGCCCAACACACACATGCGCTCATACACAAGCATGCACAGCCTGCTATTAGGAGCCACGCACTTGTTGTTGCTGTTGTGGTTAGCTGCCGTCACACTGGCCCCCAACACATGGCAACCCCATGTACAAAAGAACAAAATGTTTCCCAGTCCTGTGCCATCCCCATGATCAGTTGAAGATTGGACCGTTGTGATCCATAGGGTTTCCATTGGCTGATTTTTAGTAGACCGCCAGGCCTTTCTTCCTAGTCTGCCTTAGTCTGGAAGCTCTGCTGAAGCCTGTTCAGCATTGTGGCAACATGCAAGCCTCCACTGACAGAGGGGTGGTGGCTGTGCTTGAGGTGTTTGGCTGGAAATCGAACCCAGGTCTCCCGCAGGGAAGGCAAGAATTCTACCACAGAACCACCACTGCCTCTGCCCTCTTCTTACCCTTCCTGAGTTCCCTTCTATGAAATTGCTCTGGACTTTAGCTATGGAGAGGAAACATATCTATTTAAAATATTTAACAGCTCATGAGAGACATCAACTAATTGGAATGGACACAGGCAGGACTGGAGCTTGCTCCTACTGGATGATGGGGAGGTCCAGGGGGTCCCAGGAAAAGGGTCAGGACAGCTGGGGAGTCAGGGGCAGCACTCGGAGGGTTTGGGCAGTGGCTATTTGCCAGTGTTTTAAAACCCTTTCAGGACTGGTGGTATATATTGCTACCACTTATTTTTGTACCTCTGGGGTTCATTGGGAAGCACCTGTCCCACTGATAGTATGTGCTGCCAGCAGGCAGGACCCTATATAACAATTTGAAATGGAAAGAACAGGCTTGTGCCACAAATTAATGTTTTTACAGAGTATTGTATGAGGTGGCGCTGAATCATTGAATGTTTAGTAGGAAAAAACACGAATTTTGAAAAATTTTATATGGTACACATATGTACCTCTGGAGTCTGGGGGTAGAATTTGTGTTTACAAGGGGTACACATATGCACCGCTAGACTCCAAGTATATGATTTGTAGAATGAGGCATAAAACAAAAACCATATTACCTATCAAAAATTCAGACAGACTTAGTGATTCAGCATGACTTCCATTACTGAAAACACATAGTACTTACAAAAAATTAAAAGGAAAAAACAACTGAGTCACAAAAAGGTTAACAACTGGCCCAGCTGTGCTGAATGTCGGCCTTGCCTGAAGGAGTCTCCTGGACAGGTTTATGGCATCCTGAAGAAGCCAGGCACATTCCCTGGGGTTGTACTGGACACCTCTTGTGCCCGCCTCACAGCCTCTTGGCCCACCTGTACTCCGGCTATTGCTGCAGCAGCCAGCTCTGCACAGGCAGAACCTGACAGCCCCTCACCTGGCCCCTGTACCTTTTGCTGTCTGCCCCAGGGCTACTCTGGCACCCGGCATAGAATACCTACCATGATGAACCCCATACCTGGAGGTGTGCAGGTATTAACACTCCTCAGAGACACCATTGACCACTGGGGGAGAGTAGCAGGTAGATAATGCCCCCCTCTTATGCCTCTTCAGGGGATGATTCTGGGGTGCATTTTATATAGCTCCCCAGAGGGTGCTCAGCAGAGTTGAGCTCCAGTTGTCCAAAGTGAGGAGTAACCCATTCACACACTTTGGGATTGGCTCTCACTTCCCTCCCTCACTCTTCCCAGTCCCTCACTCCTGTTCCCTGGGATCCCCTCACAAAATAAACTACCTGCTCAGGCTCTGCTTCCTGGAGGGAAGCCAGCAAACACAGGAGCAGCCCAGCCCCTTCTCACTGGTCCCCCCGCCCTGCTCCCTGTAGAAGTACGTGCAGGACATCCTGCAAGAGCAACTGGCGGAGCCCGTGTACCGAGCCCTGAAGGAGCAAGGGGGCCACATTTATGTCTGCGGGGACGTCACCATGGCTGCTGATGTCCTCAAAGCCATCCAGCGCATCCTGACCCAGCAGGGGAAACTCTCGGTGGAGGACGCCGGCGTGTTCGTCAGTAGGCTGAGGGTGAGTGGTGGGCCGGCTTCTCGGATCCCTTTTCCAGGATCCGGTTTCTTGTTTCCTCTTCCTCACCCACCTGTCTTGATGACTAGGGGAGCCATGATGGCATCCCTGCTCCCGTTTTCCCACTTGCAACTCGGGGTAGAGGACACGGTCGGTTCTAAACCATGGTTGAGAGACAAGGAAAGAAGACTGGGGGTACGGGTGTGGGTGCCTGTATTAAATATGGTTGGGGCTTTGGTGTGTCAGAGTAACAAGTGAGTGGACCTCTGTGTTGCAGGCCAGAGACAATCCTAACCTAACTTTTCCTGCCCTCGGAACCAAGCCACAGTACTGCCCCGGAGCAGTTGTGCAGGCTGGGCACTGCACAGGGAATCTGTCCAAGGGGGCAGGTGGAGGCTAAAAGCCACCTCATGCCTGGCTCTCCAGGCTGTGCACCCTGGCATGGAGATTTGTCTACCCAGAAAGAGAGGTGCCTTTTCCCCAATTTACACAAAGGCCCAGTAGAGGTTAATGGCAGCTGGTAAGCAAAGTCGTGCCTGTGTGAGCACCTGCCCTAAATAGGAAAAACAGAATCCCAGAGCTTCAGAAAGTTCCAGGGTGATCCCATGATTCCCTCACTGAGCCGTGGTCAAACATTTTTGCAGAAGAAGCCCTTGGTCTAAGTCTGTGTTAAACCCCAGTAAGTAAGAAAGGAACTTTCTGGTAGAAATGGGTCAGAGAAGAGCTGTGGTGTCCCCCATGCACTCGGCCTCTTTGATATGACCCTCGGGAGACACGTCCATAGATTTCCAGACTCTGCAGAAAACAGTGGAAAAACCACCCCAGCCAAGAATATAGGTGGGCAACTGTCTTCCAAACCTTCAGGACCAAGAAATGCCAAAACTGAACTCCACATCATTGTGAATGTGTGTTCCCCAACTACTGCCCCCCCAGAACTGGAGCTCACTTCTTCTGGATCATGGGGAGGTCCAGGGGGTCCCAGGAAAGGGACCAGGGCAGCTGGGAGGTCAGGGGCAGCACCCAGAGGGTTTGGGCAGTGGCTATTTACCAATATTTTTACAACCAGTACAGCTGTACCAGGATGTAGACGCATTTTCCTGTTTCATCCTCGGTCCACTGCCCTTTGAGGATACTCTTTGCCGTCTGTCTCTGAATTCTGCTGAAGAAGTTTCCCGCACTTCAGCACCTCTCAGATGCCACAAATTAAATGTCATTTGTGCTATTTCTTGAGGCTTCTGGGGAGGTCCTCCTCTTTTCTTGTTTGTTTCTGGGCAAAGCTGAACAAAGATGCCCATCTTTGGAGACACTCACGTGTACCCAGGAAGTCTCCACTTGGGACAGCCATGGGAAGTGCTCCCTGAGTGCTAAGCGGGCACTTTGTTTCCTCCCATCTCTGCTGGTTTCTTCGGGCTATGATGTTTCGCACTAAATCCAGCATTCCCCAGGTCTGAACTTACAGAAACGAGGAGGAGAGAGGAAAAGGAAGAATGGTGAGGCTTCTCTCTTGCCTCATCACTTCTGACCTCAGAATGGACAAAGCAGCAGCAGCCTACCCCAGAGGAGTCCCATACCCTGGAGGGTGGAGGGTGTTACTGAAACAGTCTTGCAGACCAAAGGTATCCAGGGGACACTGAGTTCAGCCTGGTTTCCTCAGGAACCGTCTTCTTTAGGTATAGTTCCCTTCCAGGGCTGGCATTGTCTAGAACCCTCCATATTCTTGCCTGGCACTTGAGGGCTGTTCCCTGGCTGTTTCTGTCCCCTAGGATGACAACCGGTACCATGAGGATATTTTTGGGGTCACCCTGCGGACATATGAAGTGACCAACCGCCTTAGATCTGAGTCCATTGCCTTCATTGAAGAGAGCAAAAAAGATACGGACGAGTAAGCCGGTTCCATACCATGGGCGAGGGGTGGGCAGAGCCCTTTCGTGGAGTCCTGGTGGGCAAGGGTGTCTGACTTCATTTACCGTGGCTCCCTTTTGGGTCAGTGGTTCCCACAATGCTCCCTGGACCAGCAGCAGCTTTAGCATCACCTGCTGACTTGTTAGAAATGCAGATTCCCCCAGTGTTGCCCCAGACCTGCTGAATCAGAAACCCTGGAGTTGGGCACAACAGTTTGTGTTTTAACAAGCCCTGCAGGGGGCTCTGAGGCCTGCTCAAGTATGGAGACCCCTGCTTTGGATGCTGGCTTCCTCCTGGGGTGTCCCCTAGTGGTAGGTTGTCTCCGGCCTCCGCTACACCCGCCTTTTCCACGGGTGCAAATTACAATTAATGTTATTATTGACAATTCCACTCATCCTCTAGAAATTTTTGGAAACAGTTTGAGTCTCACTGTCTAAACCTTACCTTAGCCCCCTGACACATCAACCTTGATCATGAGCTTACTGCCAAATGCCCTGCCCACCCCATTCTCACAGAGCCCCTCCAAACCACAAACATGTGCACTTTAAATTAGGTAAGACTTCAGCTGTCTCTTTGACAAAATTTAGTAGCACAGGGCACACGCTTCATTTCTTAAACTCAGCATCCTTATTTTTTTCTTTTTCCCTTAAGACAACATAACCAAACCAAAATTAAACCCATTGCCATCAAGTCGATTCCAACTCATGGCGACCCTGTGTGTGTCACAGTAGAACTGCTCCATAAGATTGTCTTGACTGTTGTCTTTATGGAAGCAGATCACTAGGCGTTTCTTCTGCAGTACTACCGCGTAGGTTCGAACCACCAACCTTTCAGTTAGCAGCTGAGCGCAAACCGCTTGCACCACCCAGGGACTTTGAGACAACATGGCAACCTCAAAAATACTTTTGTGTCCTGTAGGTTTTCCAACCGTTGCCTTTAAGATGGTAACTCCCTAGGTTGTCACAAAGCACCTTTCACTGTCCCTTTCCCTTGCTGGTTGGGTTGGTGAGCATCCATTCATTCATTCACTCATTCATTCATTCATTCAACAGTACAAGCCCTTACTATGTATCAGCTCCTGCCGAAGACATTGGAACTTGAATGAGGAAATGAAAGAGACAATGCCACTGAACCCTGAGCTTACTGGGTCGCTTTAAGAAACCAGAACAGTCTTGCTCCTATCCTACTAACTCTGTCCTTGCCTCTCCTCTGCCAGGGTTTTCAGCTCCTAACTGGATCCCTCTTGCCCGGATGAATGACAGATCAGCCTCCCGGTGCTGCGGCCAGGGAGGCTGAGGTTTTGTAAGTGCGGACGCTGCTGAATCTTTTCTATGGACTCCATGTGACCTCGCTGCGCCTGGCGTCCTGTCACTGCGTCCTGGTTCCCTCCTCTGGGGTGTCGCCCCTCCGTGGTTTCCTGGGCCCTCTTCACTTCTCTCCTTGAGTTCACCTGCTGCAATGCAACGGCTTTCTACTCCACAGTGGCCCTTATGAAACTCTGTCTCCCCCCTCTGTCCTCCTGATAAGGGCATAACATGGGTGCATGGCTGTCGCTCATGTTGGGGTTTGTGTTCTGCGGTCCCCCCGGACAGGCTGCAGGGACTGAACTGAAGAGTTTTCTGAGCCTGTCCTTCAGCATCTCCTTTTTTACGAAGACCTGTTATTCGTGCGTGTGCACGTCAGGAGCCTGGGTCTCTGTCTGTCCTTGTGCCTGTGCAAGTGTGTTGCCAACAGACCCTCGGTGCCAAGGAACGGGCCCCTCACCTGGATTAAGTCTTCACGCATCCATAACTAAGGGTGAGTGCAAGTGTCCCGGAAACACTTGGAGGGGCCCTAACTGTCCTGGTTTTAAAGGGCTCACGAAGGGGGTGATGATTACGAGAAAATCTCCCAGTGAAAGAGGAATCACAGAAGTAGGTGCATTTAGATGTTGACATCAGTTAGCAGAGCCCAGATGGAAAAATAACCATCTAATGGATCACCCACCGCAACCACGATCTCTTAATTCGGTCACATCCATCAGCCCTCTCCCCAGACAATCCCACCCACAAAGCCCAGAAGTAATATCGTCCAAGGGAGCATGCTGGAAATAAGAATCTTCCTATCTTTGCCACTGACCCACCATGTGACTTTGGACAAGCCACTTTTCCTCAGTTTCTCTTGTGATATCATGAAGCTAAAGGGTATGAATGGGCTGAAGGTTTAAAGTTTCGGAGACTGGAAACAACATCAATGAAGAACGTCAGTGTGATTTTTTATTCCTCAAAATGGAGCTCCTTGCTTCGCCTTTGGGGATAAAAGATTGGAAGCCAGTTGGAGAAAAACAGGTTGGAGAGGGACGCTGGAATGATGTACCACATTGCTGCTTCTCTAAGAAATACAACCCAGGGTGAGAAGGACCTGGCCCAGTCCTTTGACCTTCTAAGAATGGTCCCAGAATTTTTTTTTAACCTGATTACAGAATTTTTACAAATAAATTACCCTCAACTCTGATCAAGAATGGAGAGCAAAGTCTTCAGTGGGAGTTGGGGCCAGTGTGATTTCTCCCTTCCAGTAAACCTGCCATGGTGACAGTCTCGTTCCACCCGTAAGTGCTAAAATTCAAAATAAAGCAGCTCCCAGAGACAGCCAAGACATTCTGGTGACCCTCAGCCTCGAGGAATCTGCTCTAGGCTCCCAGGGATGGTAGGGTAGCATTCAGCCCACCCTGTTTTTTTTATTTCTTTTTTTTTTTTTTTGCTGTCCAGAAAAACTGTATTTCCCTTAGATACTGTGCAAGACGCAACAGTTAAGCACTAGGCTGCTAACTGAAAGGTTGGCAGTTCGACCAGCAGCTCTGCAGGAGAAAGACCTGCTGATCTGCTCCCATAAAGATTACAACCTAGAAAACCCTATGGGACAGTTCTGCTCCGTCACATGAGGTCGCTGTGAGTCAGCATCAACTTGACGGCACCCAACAACAGCAGCAGCCCTGGTCCTCTTTAAAGGGGCCTTACAACAGGAGAGCCAAGACCCCAGAGGAGCCCACCTCCAAGACTCAGAGCTAAAGAGCAAACAATGTCTCATCCTTCTCCACTGTCCTTGGCAGCCCCCACTGGTGTCTCAGCCTCCAGCACATGCAGTGTGACTTCATGCCAGTTATAATCCTTCCTGCCTTTAATCCTGTCTTCTGCTCAGTCTTCCATGAACACAAAGACCAAATGCTCAGCCGCCTCCACCAGACCCTTCCTAACCTGGAGAGAAGCCAAGTGTAAACCTCTTCTTTCCCGCAAACGTGACTCCAGCTGCTAGTAGCTTTCCAAATCAAGCTTTAAATATGAATGCTTTAACATCACTGAATACATACATATGAGCACTTAAATGTGCCAGGTACCTTTTTAGTAAATACCCAGGCCTTTCTGGTAGCATGTAAGCAGATGGGAGCAAGGAGTCCAAAAAAGCATTATGTAACCAAGATTCATCTTTCTCCCCGAAGATTTTTTTTTTAAGTAAACACCTTTCAACCCCCAGCACGAGCTGCTGCATAACTCCTGGCTAGAAGACAAGAGATTAGTCTGCTGTGTTTCTCTCATTTGCCAGAACTCCTAATAACAGAAAGCCTCGCTGTAATGAGTAACGTATCAAAAATCAGAGACTGGTCCAGGATGGGTAAATACTTCCCCCTTGTGGTAGGTTTTAGTTCAGTCCCAGTAGCCAATGATAAAAAAACTCAGTTGCCAAGTCAATTCCAACTCATGGCGACCCCATGTGTGTCACAGTAGAACTGTGCTCCATAGGGTTTTCAATGGCTGATCTTTCGGAAGTAGATCGCCAGGCCTTTCTTCTGAGGCACCTCTAGGTAGACGAACCTCTAACCGAAGGTGTGCAAAATATGATTTAGCAATAAGAGGGCAAATAGATGGTTTACTGGGCCTTTGGGGGGTTACCCAGCTTGCAGGCCATTTCTTTCCCTCTCCACCTTGAACTGAAGTGATCTTGTAATACAGAGTTTGGCCAGGAGGAACGAGACATCCCATAAACAGTAACCAGCCGTGGCTCCCAGCAGCACTGTGAATCCAGTTCCTGGAATTCCTGGACCTTGTGTTGTGAGAGAACTGATGTGGTTACACTGCCTGAGAGGAGAAGGAGCTTCCTTAGTTTCCTTGGTGTGAGACAGCCAGGTGTCTTCCTTTGTTGGGAATGCTTCAGACCCACCAAGTGGAGCTTCGGAAGCCGACCTGAGCCCAGATCCTCACCCAGCCCGTGTTTATGTGATATAAGTGGCATGTCAGGGAATTTGGACTTTATTCAGTGGGAAACAGGGAATCCTCAGGAGTGTTTTTCAAAAGGGGGAAATTAAGGCAGTTGGAGTTATGCTTGGAAAAGAATGTTCTGGAGGCAACACAGAGTGTGGATGGCTGGCCAGTTGAGCCAGTGCTGGATTATTGCCGTAACCAAGGCTTGCATGAGAGTAGGGGCAGGTGTAATGATAGATATTGCAGAGGTTGAATCTACAAGACCTGGGAGCCCGCCTGCTGCAGAGGGTGAGGACAAATGAGAAATTAGAGTCTCACCATTAGCTGAGAAAGGGGTCTCATGAGGAAAACAGGTTCAAAGGAAAGAGGCATTTGAAGCGGTAATGTGAAAGCCAGCTTCTCCCTAAGACAATAGGTGAATCCTTCTATGGTCCAGCCATGCCCAGGTGCCCAGACAGAAAACTGACTCCAGCCAACGGCACTGGCCTAAAGACCACAGGATTTTCTTGCCAAACATGCTCTCGGAAGCCACCCGCTTCTGGTTTCCAAAGGGATCAGGTTTTGCCCTAAGTTCACGTCTTAGGGTTCTCTAGAGAAACTGAACCAATGATTGAGATATATATATATATACACACATACATACATACTGTATATACTGTGTGAATATATGTATATACACGTACATACTATGTGTGTGTATATATATATATATATGCTATACATACTGTAGAGAGAGAGAGATTTACTTCAAGGAATTGGCTCACACAATTGTAGGGGGCTGGCAAGTCCAAAATCCGCAGGTCAGGTGAGGAGAAAAGTAAGTGTGTTCTGGCAGAATATCTATGGTAGTGTAAACAATTAATGTACTCAGCTGCTAACCAAAAGGTTGGCAATTCTAGTCTACCCAGAGGCTCCTCAGAAGAAAGGCCTGGTGATCTACTTCTGAAAAATCAGTCATTGAAAACCCTATGGAGCACAGTTCTACTCTGACAAACATGGAGTCTCCATGAGTTGGAGCCGACTTGACAGCAGCTGGAGAGAGAGAGAGTCTAGAGACAGAATACAACGTAGGAAAAACTCCCTTTTTGCTCTTACAGCCTTCCAGCTTTCAACTGATTGGATGAGGCCCACCCACATTATGGAAGGTAGTCTGCTTTCCTTGAGGCCAACTGACTTAATCGCATGTAACTACTTCATAACAGTGTCTAGACTAGTGTCTGACCCAAACAACTGAGCACCATAGCATAGCCAGGTTGACACGTTAAATGAACCATCCCAGTCCAAAACAAGTGAGAGGTTCTCTGACCCAGTTCACAGGGAAGATGGTTCCTACCAGGATGAGCAAGCCAAATGTCTGGGTCCCGTCACCCCTACAGCATCAGCAACAGGCCCCCAGTATGGCCTTTTAATTTGGTCATTAAGAAAACCCTGGTCTTGTAGGTATTTTTTGTTCGGGCCACACTTGTGTATTTTGATCTTCAGCATGTTATCCTGCCCACCTTACCCTCAAAGCCCTCTGTCTGAATCGGTAAGTTAGTCTGAGATTGGCTGCAAGTGACAAGGAGGAAGAAACACCAATCTGGGCTCCCTGCATAGTCTGTCTACACTCCTGGACTTCCCTCAACCCTCCTAAAGACTCCAGTATTCAAATGTCCCATGTGACTCAAGAATTAAAGACCAGAGCCAGGATGGATCAGAGAGACTGAGGGAGTTTGCCTTTGCCTCCCCAACGACTCAACAGAGCCTGTCCCCAGGAGCTGACACCAGCCTGGCCTCTCCTCCTCTCTCTCACACCCACCCCACTCTTGGGTCCCTGCCTGGTGGCGAAACGGTCCAAGAAGAAAAGTTGCCTTTCCCCAAAGACTGATGTGTCCCAGACCCGAGGTTCTAGGTACACTTTCACCCCTGGAAAGTAGGGTCTGTTTTGAGTCTGTTTTCAATTAATACTGTGAAAGCCACATGCAAAATATGATCACTTTTTGATCAGAAGGTAATCTGGAGTAAATAATACGCC